GACCCCATCAAATGCTTTTGAGAAGTCGAAAAATATGGCATCCGATATGAGTCCTTCGTCCTTGGCTTGGGTTAAGCTGTCCGTAAACACGAGCATGATTGTCACACAAATACGGTTTGGGAGCAATCCGTGTTGAGCTGGAGATATCAGATTGCTGGAAGTAAGGTGATCTAGGATGGCACGCTTCAAAATGCGTTTCACCACCTTTCACGGCACGCTAGTAAGGCTTCTATGCCCATTGCTGCCAGGCGATAGTCGGTCACCAGTTTTGTAGATTGGCGTGACAGTTGCCTCCTTCCACTTGGGTGTGTCAATTTCTGCCTCACACAAAGCCAGCTGCCACGGAACTGCGTATCCCTTCCACGACCCTCGACTGCCGTTACGAGACTGTCCATAGACCAAAGCATGTCAGTGCGATGATGGCATAGCACTGTCCTACCTAGTGAGATGGCACTCCCCCAACTATTTTCTCCGGAATCTCGACAGCAACCCCACGCCCACTCAAGCATGTAGTCACGACTTCGAGCAGTTTCCTCCGGCCCCGTCTCTTGGGTGATCTCTTCCGTATCCAATGAATTTTCGCTCAGATTTGGCTAGCCTGCTTTTTCGACTGAAATTTCGGCTTGCCTGCTCCACAAGTTCAAATCCATATACGGAGTTCATGTCGCCCTATGTATTAGCAACTTGTTCCCACTCAGCCTATTCCCCTGCAACTGACTTCCCTACAACAGTGCAACCAGTGAGTCCGCTTACTTTCAGATGAAACCACACCACATTTTCAGAAATTGCCATGCGATCCCAATTTGGATTATCCCATCTCCGTCTCCAATTTTGCTCGTTGTGGCTCCGGCAATTTACCTAACTGTCCAAGGTCACTCATGGTCAGCAATGGTTTTCAGTTTTAGTTAATGCCACCTGGCTTTCTTTGAACTAGTCGGTCCTCATGCCCGTTGTTCCCACGAAATCATGCATACCTTCTAGCTGCTATCTCCCGGATGACGCTTCCACAATAAATGGGAATCCTTTCACCCATTCCACGGAGATGTCGGCCTCAGATACTCCTGTCCTTTCAGCTTTTCACACCAGGTGCAGTTTCAGGTTGTCAGAGCACGCACACTCGGCTTTTCAACCCTGAGCTCCTGTCACCTCTGAGACAAAATGGTTGCAATTTTTAGGCTATGCGTAAGACCGGGAAATTCTGTCCCTTATCCCCATCTCTTTACACCCAAAGTTGTAGGCTTGCACTTCAAGGCGTCCAACGCTCGTTCACGAAAAAGCTGGTCCCTCTGTCAAACTCTCTCTCTTACCGCTCACAGTGTCAAACCTTAGGCCTCGAGCCACTATGGTTTAGACGGTTTAAGAGGAGTCTAACTCTCCTACACCGCCTGCCGCATAAAAGTGCCTTTATAGCAGAGGCTGGACCAAAAGTGAACCCACGTCCTCGCTACCGATTCCGTAACTCCTGCAAACTTTTTGTGTCCCCCCAGCTAGTACAACTACACGCCACTACTTCTTTCTAGTTTGCTACGTTCGCATCTGAAACAACTTTCATGAGCAGCTGCAAAACATCACGCATTATCATACTTTTACTCAGTCCGTGGACAGATTCCTTACCTGTGAACCTGCTGCCGTCCTACTAAAAGCTCAACTACCCCCGGACCTGCGAAATGGGTCCAGTGTGTATTTGAGTTTGGCGAAGATACAGTTAGTGGGCAAGTAAAAGATCCTGTTATCATTTCTTCCTGTCCTCTCGACTCGCTTTAAGCTATTGTAGGACCTAAACGCTCACTTAATCTAAATATGCCGTGTTACTGGCCTGATTAATTTTCTTTTTCCACCAGCCAACTTTTACCTCGTCCTAGTCAAGTCCTAGTCAAGCCCATTTCGTCAACCAGACAAAGAACATACCCACCTGCTTCTCTCGAAACTGGTCACGAAGGCCTTCACCATGCACCACTTATAGATTAAGGCTAATAATAGTGCTTCGGGGACTTGTGACCATCCCGTCTACGATCAACCCCCCTCCGAGATTGTTCTAGTATTGTCCACTTCACCAATAATTCCCAGGAAATCTAGTCAACCATCTCAGAAGTTCAGCCTCCGCCAAGCTTGCATGTTTGATTTCCCTTACTAGCCGTGGGGAGCTGTTGTCCGATCACTTACCACGTGTATACCGTCTTTGTTCACATTAGCCCCTTCTTTGCACAACGGAGACCTTATATTCAGAATCTTCGGGTAAGCCAAAAATTACCGCCATGTGATCTCCCGTTCCAACGAACCCAACGGCTAGCCTAGGCGACAAAGTCCTTTTCTTCCCGAAATTAAGCACCTACTTTGGTTCATCTTTGGTTCATCTAGCAATAGGTTTCTACGTCAGCGAACAAATCCGCCCTTTTCTGGGCCCATTTAGCGTGCTATCTTGCCGTTTTATATTTTGTATCAACTGATACCGTTGTATCTGATGTCTCTTGGCGCTCAACAGGCAATGCTGCACTCATCCTATTTCTTCCTCATTCCCCTTCCTCCCAGGCTTCAAACTTCGGCTGCAGTTGCCCAAACACTCCGTACAACCTTTATTCATTCAACCTGGCTGGTACTTGGCCCACATTTACATGGTCCCTCAAATGAAGGGAAAGTATCCGTGACCCTGCATCGTCCTCACTCCATCTGGTTAGTCTCCTTGCCTAAAACAGGTACAGCCGCCATGGAAATACGTATCCTCTGTCCGACTGCAGCACCCATGACGACCGTTATGCGGCTAGACGTAAACCGAAGTATGTCAGTGCAGTGATGGCACTGCACTTCCATACCCAGTGTAGTGGCACTCCCGCGACTGTTTTATTCAGAGGCTCGACTACAACCTCTCGCCCCCTTGAGCCTGTAGTTGCAGCTACGACCAATTCTTCCACCTGGCTCTAACCCCCTCTTGGAAAAGTTCATTCTAATTCAATAAAACTCGTTCGGATTTGATCGACCTGGTATTCTGCTGCAATTTCGGTTTTTCTCTTCCACAAGTTCGATTTCATACATAGTTTTCGTTTGGCCCTATGCATTAGCAATATCTCCCCGTCGAAAGTATCCCTTGCACTGGCCTCCCTACAACGGTGGCGCCAGTGAGTCCACTTAGTTTCAGGTTAAACTATTTTTTGAGACAAAACTTGCCATACTTTTACTTCGAACTATTCCATCTTCATCTCCATCTTTGCATGTTGTGATTCTGGCCAGTTGCTCAACCAACCAAGGTACTCATGGCCAGTAATGGCTCCCACCTTTAGTTCGTGTCAGCCGGCTTCACCTTTGAACTAGTCGGACCCCATGTACATTATTCTAGTTTTTCTCGGTTCATGCAACTACGATGACTTTTAACGTAGTAAGCGTGTCTAGTTGGTTGCATCATCCTTCCCGTTGCCCTATTATCTGTTGCATCTAGGCTGTAAGACTCGATCAAGCTTCCTTCAGCACGCTAGGTACAAGTTGGGAAGTGAACACAGTATTATTATTTCACGAGATGTTGCCCAGTGTTTATGACACTGTCCTCCTTTTTGCGCACCGTCCAGTATCCGCAAGTTCTCACAGTCATGCTTTGTCCTGACTGTTAACGTGCGGTCATGCCTGACGGTATGCTACACACAAGTTGGGAATAAACATTATTATTATCGGAAAATTCGCAGCCCGTTCCGTGGACTGTAAAATTACAAGGACAAGCCGCTAAAAGTAACCAAATATCAGGCCTGTTGGACGGCTGCTTCATCGGCCAAAGACAAAAAAGCCTTGCCCTATGTAGCACGTAGCGCCTACGACTTTCATTAGTAATTACTGGCGAGGTGAATCTTCGCTTGTTGGGTTTTGGCTCACAGGATTTCTTTCGATTTTAATCCAGGGATTTTATCGTGAACCTCGAACCTCGGAGGCACATTGCTTTTTTGTTTTATTGGCACGATCATCATACTTGACACATCAGACTCTTGGATAGCCAGAATAGTGTATTTTTGCGCAATACTGTTCGTCTCGCCTTAATGAGCTTTATCTCGTCTTGCAGGAAATTTAGCTCTAATATTCTTCTTCGGCTTTCATTGAAGTTTGTACAAGGCTACCCCTATTCTTGACGCTTCGGTGTGAGAGAAACAGCGAAGGCAGGAAAAACCTAGGAGTAGTGAGCCACAGTAACTGGTTGCAAACCAAACCAACGATCTCACTTTCGGCAGGAAAACTCCTGGACATTTCACGGCAGCAGAACTTGGCACGTTGGTAAGCATCGACGGTATCCGTTCTCTTTCTCGTAAGCCGCCATCGGCTTGCATGCTGAATAAGTTTTGAACGCTAAATCTCGGCAAAATTATGGAAGAGTGGTCAAGGGAACACGAAAAGTGACTGGCTTTGGTGATTTCAATGGCCCTTGGAGTGCTTGGCCGCTGGCTCAAAAAGTGGGAACGGTTGAACAATATTGGCTTATGAATTTCATTTTTCTAAAGCTCTACCTTGACACGAACTTATCAGATACTTTCAGAATCGTTCCAAAACATCTGTCAGATAAATGCTTTGGTAGACATCTGTTGTCGACGCCACAACGCAATCGAAATGGACGCATAAGATTTTGCGAACTTCACTGGTGTGGTCCATATTCCATGGCACTCTTCAGAGATCTCATCTTAATCAATCACCGCAACGCAGGTATTCAAGCGGGCCAAATGTATGAATTGGGCTGGTTATGAAGCGGACTCTTTTGAGATCTGCTACCTAATGACAGATACCTACCAATACTGAGGGGAACAAGCAATTGGTAAGCATCTAAACACCGAATGAAACATAAAAGCTACCAAAACACTATTGGCTTCATAAAGAATGAAACTTTTCGGGGCACCACGCAACTGAGGCCACGTGCGCATCCTGTTTGTGAAGAGATAAAATGTATCTAGCATCAAGATGCCGTACATCTACTGGCTCTCTAGCAGAAAGCACATCTAAGTTGTCAACGGTATTCCCAGGGCCAAAGATTTGGTTACGGACACTTAGCAAAAGTGCTGACGCCCGAGGTATCGGGACGCCTTTTGGAGCCATAAAAGTAGCCAACCTCGATTAACATCCATTCCCTCATCGAAAATAGCGGCTTTTTAGAATTTTGAACCATCTTGCTTAAATGTATGTATATGATACAAATCACATATAGGCGTCTTAATGTCCCACACTGCTTATAAATATCTTAACCAGAGCAAGTTTAATTCCCAGCCAGTGCCACCACCTGTTATTGAATTTGTGTCCCTTCTTTTGAGTAACTTGCAGTAAGTTCATTTCATTGGCCGATTTGACGTAGAAGAAAGTGCTTTCAGACGAGGGCTCCTCGGTTCTCTCTATATATCTTTGTTTGTAAACAGCGTACACCTGGCGTTTGATATTCGTTTTCCGTTTGTTCACATCATAACAACGGGAAGGTAGCCGTAGAGTTTCCAAAGCGACAAAGTTTTGTTGAACAGATGGCCTAGTGTTGAACTTGAGGAAGCTCTTCCAACCGGCCGTTCAAAACTTTTACGTTCGTTTAAACTTCAGTGGCATATTCTAGACTTCCCAAATTAGGATGTCACACGGAGGCTAGAAACGGGCTCTTGAGCTTGTTTAGATTTTCGGGAGATTCCCTCGCAGCTTATTTTAGCTTTGCCGCCCGGTGCTAGAATTGGCACTGGAAGATTGTTTTCCATAAATTATGATCCACTCCTACACTCAGCACCAAAATGTGAGGCATGTTGTGCCAATGATTGACATGCCCAAGTCATTTGGCCAGTGTTTTGCAGTGCCTGAATCTGTCTCCTTGAGCGTCCCTGGTCTATGGAGGGTCTATGATAGCCAAGCAGCAAACAGATGGCAATTAGGAAAACCGTTAGCATATGCCAGAGACAGAAGCGCGACTGTAACCGATCCCTGAGACACAACTGATCTAACCGCCACTGACCTTGAGAATTCTCACCTTTTCTGAATTACGAACCAGAGATCCTCCTAGAAGGGTTTATAATATCTACGTAGGTTGCTCGTGCTAAAAACCCCAGTGAAGTTGCAGGAAACGTTTGTGAGCGGCAAGACAGCAAGTTTCATCTCCTCAACACAAATTCGTCACTGGAGGCGATGCTTAACTCGTCCTACTTCAAATTGGGAAGGTTCTAGTGCTGCTCCGGTTTTTTAGCGAACACCTAGAACTTGAGTGAAAGGACACTGTTTCAACACATAAAAGTGCACCGTTTATGACGCTATTCGTTGTATTTGAAGCAAATTCCTAAGCTGTACTGCCGAGTACAACAGTTTCGATGGTATCGGTTGGCCCAAAACCTACTCAAGTCTTGGGGCCCAATGCTTGGTTTGGATCAGATGGCGCCAGCTCTCGGAGAAAATAAGGGTACTATCCATATCAGAATACCTCGGCATTTAGGGGAAATATATATCCCGAGACTTTTAGGGCAAGTGGGTCACTATGAGAAACTTAAACGGAAAGGCCTTCATCCTGACCGCCTTTCTCGACACGGGTTGCCTATCACGAGATTTTCCAAAGCCCTGCTTCTTTTGCCATCTCTTTAATCAATGGCCCCATTTTTGGACAAGGTGCTCCAGTTAAAGCATCGAACAGAAAAATTTTGCAGACACATGAGATCTAAAACAGTGCAACAAGCGCTTTAAACATACATCAGTTTGACTGACTACTACGGGCCCCGTTGTTTCACAAGCTTGAGTCGTACGGTATTCAAGTGAAAGTTCTACACAGGATTAGGGCTTTGTTATCGGACGAAACACTCCGAGCAAAGTAGGCTTGGCGTACACTTCTTCGGCTCTCTTAGTTGGAGTCCCACAAGGAACCGTTTTGGGATTGCATCTGGTTCTCATCTACGTTAACGATCTTCCGGAAGTCCGTTCAAGTTCACGTCAACTTTTTTGCGGGCGACTTGAAATCCTGGATTTCTAACGCCAGCGCCCTCCTAATGAATGTAGACGCTACGAAGCAGTAGTCGTTGGAGTTTTTTTTGCGGCTTGAAATCCTGGATTTCTAACGCCAGCGCCCTCCTAATGAATGTAGACGCTACGAAGCAGTAGTCGTTGGAGCGGCACCCTCCTCTGAACGATGAAACATGCGTTCACATGCAACTTGAGGAAACTCAGCAAAACTCTCGCTCATGCATTGTGAGAATGAACCAAAACACATACCAAGAGTAGACACCAAAAATAACTCAGCTCTCTGGATATGCGCAAACAAGTCTTTCTTGGCGCACAAGGTAAAATCTACCCAAAAGTTAATCGCCGTCCAGCGGATAACTTGATGCACCTTCTTGCACATCACTCGGATGCATTTTCAGACGCCCCATGGGGCCTACCTCAAAAAAACAAATTAAACGCGTCAAACACTTCGTCTATTCAGGAGGCAAGAAGGACGTCAAGCACATTCAGCATGTCCAACGAGCAGCTGTTAGAAAGGTGGCCTGCCTTCATAGATTCATGTATTGATACGGGGACCGATGCTTTCGCTCAAACTTCCGGGTTGGCCTTGTTCTCGCTGTTCAGTGGCTGCCGTTCAGCCGAAAGGCAAAGGCGAAGGAATCTGTGGCACTGTTTTTGGGTTCTCAGCGCGAAGCAATAATCTTACTAGTGAGAGGGGTTAACCATAAAGGCACCTAAAAGTACTTTGGGCCAAGTACAAGATGTTGCGTGGACAACCAACGGAGGAAGGCTATTCCACGCAGCGACCAGCCGAGACGAGAAAACTGTTGCCTGAGAAAAGGTGCGTGCTTTGAGCCCCGCCATGTGTTAATTAGGTCGACGGTGGAATAACTGTTGGCCAAATCCTAGTCAAGCAGAGAATAAGTAATCGTTCGGTTTCTTTGGAGATTCTGACACTAGTCGAAGGGCCGCTGGCTATTCGCACAATGAGATTGATTTCTCGAAATCTACCGCATTTTCAGACTTGCCACTTGATAGTGTAGAATGTCTATGTATAATGTACATGCTCCTGTATTATTGAAAATCCTTTACTATGGCGATTTGTTTAAGTGAACTAAATCCCCAGGTGAATAAACACCGCCGACTTTGAATACCTTAACGGAGGAAACAAATTGCGAATTGTGGAAAAGGTTGACTCACATACAATGAACGTAACTTTCAGGTATTTT